CCTGACTTTCGGCAATGAACTGTCAGTTGTTGCGTTAGCATTTGATGTGGCGATGGTGACAGACACGTCAAATGCTAACGCAACACCTGTTGCGTTCAGGAAACCTGGGAGATTTAACATTACAATAATGGCAGGTTATCGAAATATCATTTAAAATGGCCACATTACATTGAATTTGATGCAATATATTAGCAAAAGTAGAGGAAAAATAAATCATACTTTTTTTTAAATAATGCAATGAAATTATTTAGGGGGGCTAAAGACATTTTTAGGGAGGCTGAAGCCTCCCTAAAATAGGCCTAATGACGCCCATGGTGTCACCCCAATCACGCTGATAAGCCGCTTGAGTATTTTTTCAGCGAAAACGTGCCGAATATTGCCAACAATCATCCCGCTTTGTGATTGCTACTTCAGGAAACCAGCCAGCGTCGTACTTGTGTGAGACTGGCTTCTCTGCTGTCGCTGCTCTGAAAAGCAAATACAGGTCCCGGCTACACATTGAGCAGGAGCTGAGAGTTGCTGTGTGCGGCTTCAAACCTCGCTTCGAAAAGCTGTGCATTGCAAAACGTGCTCATTGTAGCCATTAAGCCAGACATCATCTTTGATGAAAAAAATCAGCACAAATTTTATATTTTAGTTTTTTCAGGTTAAAGTTTTTTTTTCTCAATATTGTGCTCCTGAGTTAATGTTGGTGATCAGTTTGAATGCATTATTTATTGATTTGATGTCATTTTATTTTTTAGCATTGTATGGTTTGACAAGGTCAGTCAAAAAATGTTTAGAGTTCAATTAAGGATTTGATATTATTTTTGAATTTCACATGCACTTTAAATGTTTTCTGTTAGTTAATAAAGCTATCTTTGTTGTAAGTTGGCACAGGAACTCTTTTATTTTGTTAAGTTGTGCCTGCTTAATAATAGAAATAGCCCTTTTAGGGAAATAAGACATTTTTACTTTAACTTTGTTCAACAGTTGTTGTCTTTTTTCCCCCTTATTTTAACAAAAACAAAACAAAATACTCATTTTACCAAAATAAATACTAAACATGAAAACAAGGAGCACAGGAATGTGCAGTGCTGTTCTTCCAGTAAAGGTGAATG